GAACCCTATCATCACGGTTAACGTCTTAACTGACCGCTGCATTTCAAATTCGTTGATGTACCCAACAAGCCACTGGACAAACTGGTAACAGGGAAAAAAATGTCTGAACAAAGGTAAGCGGTCAGCTGGTAGGCACAAAAAAGAACAGCAGCATACCGCCCTGTAACTCCATAATTCGTAATGTCCAGAAATCTATATAGGGTTACGTTTTCAGAATAAGCCTATGTTGAAATAGTGAGTACAATTTAATATTTGCTTGAACTATCCCTTTAAATTTGATTATGACACGGTAGCGGTAGGTCTTATCTCCAGCAATGGCGATACGGCCTACCTAGAGGAAAGTCTGGGGACATGGCCTACATCCAAGTCCAATTGTTTATTCCCTTTACTCGCTAACTTCCCTCCACTTCATTGTCAAGAAATGTTTATGCGTGCACTATTGAGAGCATCCTAACCAGGTAGCACTATAACTTGGTTCAGGAACAGGCTTCTAGAAACATCCGTGCAGGTGTGTTCAGCCAAGTTGGAGCTAAAATCTGCAGGACACCGGCCCTCCAGGACCGAGTTTGGACACCCCTAATCTACACCAACCCAAACCTAACCTACTTGCGCTGTAATTCCCTCTTGGAGGTCTCCGGGCTGCAGCGATACCTACTTGGGACAGATGAGCTCTCCAGAAGATGGAGAATCTGCGCCAAACACCCTGAGTGTCATATTCTGACCCATCTTGGGTGTAATTTGTCAGAATTTCCGACTTCTTATCAATTAGAAATGATCAGACCGGAGGTTTTGAATATCAGAAAATAGACTTTATTCTCCATAATAAAGCCAAGAAAGAGCAGAGCAGACCCCAGAGCATTCTGAAGTCTCTCTTGGACAATTCCTTTGCTTTCTTTGCTTCTCTCTTTCTCTTACTCTTTCCTTCTGCTCTTTCTAAAGTCTCTGTGTTTTCCACAACCTTTATACAGGTTATTTGACACACCCCAAAGTGTCTTGTTTAAACTCTTGACCATTTTTGGATAGGTTTTTACTCTAGGTGGTCCTGTTATTCTTGGCTCTCTGCCAGCTTGCTATGGTCAGCAGAGATGTCACAGGTCTGTCATGGCAGCAACTGTTTTGACACCAGAGTTCTCTCTTTGCAAAAGGACTAAGTGTTTACATACATTGTCAAGATGGGATAATAACTTGATAATATGTTACTCACTCTAGATTCTGACACAGATAGCCTCATATAAGTATTTAACATATATAATCAGTGCTTTACATATTCATATGTACTTCTTCAGCATAGCCTTCTCCTAGTGTTGCTCCTGTGCAGGCTTCTCATTTTACAGACATCTCACTGTATTTTTACCACATGCTGGCATGTTTGCTGCAAACACTCAATACTTTTTGAGAAGAGAAAAGTTACTGCTTTACACTTAGAAAATACTTCACAGTGAGAGAATAAAATCTTCTTCATGAGCCGACCTCCATCTACAGCTTAGACCATTGGTAGATAGTGAAGGACCTCCCCAACAATGGACTCTTATCTCTGTTACAGTCATGAAAGCACTATCTTTTCATAAATATCAAAAACAGAAAGAATGAGGAGCTTCTTCCCATTGGCCATTCAGGCCCTCAATCAGGAGCACATTTAATTTTTTTTAAAACACAACAAATGCACATTACACTTTACTATTTTTGCACTGTACAATTATTGTTTTTATGTAACAGGACAGTCATACAAAACATTTCAGTACATGCTGGACTAATTATGATGAAGTGACAAATAATATTCGAAGAGTTTTGATGCAAAAACTTCTAAAAACAATTAGATATTTTCTTCTAAAAGTAGCATTTTTCTCTGACTCCTATGTGTAGGCCCAGTAATTTTACTTTCAGAAATAAGAATAAGTTCTTGCATTTCAAGTGAAATAATTGAACATAAACATAGGAGGCTGATTAAAAATGCTGATTTTAGGTGAACGCTTAGAGGTTTTTGCAGTTGAACTCTTCATTTGTAATAGAACACAGAATGGTTTCAGCTGTACATTTTATGTTCAAGACACAACATACTAATAAAAAATAGATTTAAAAGTATGACGTTGCATTTAACAGTGGTTTTCAACTACAGTGTTTACAAAACAGACAACCACTATTAAGACACAATCTTTATTCATTTATTTTTTTGGTAAGCGTGCCAACACTTTTTTCACATCTATAGGCATATGAATAGTCCCTCCAGGATTTTGTGACTGGATTTTGATATTTTAAAAAAACATTTTACAAGATTTTTGTATATTTTGATATTGATTCAACTCAAAAATTGAATCAAATAGTGCCGCGTTTTGAGAAAAGCATCACAAAATCAGTAACTTTCAACCACAGATCCTTCTTTAAAAGTCACTGTAAAATCCTGAATGAAATGATGAAGTGTTATTTATTCATTCATTCATTCATTTTCTTCTCGGCTTAGTCCCTTTATTAATCCGGGGTCACCACAGCGGAATTAACCGCCAACTTATCCAGCAAGTTTTACACAATGGATGCCCTTCCAGCCTACCCATCTCTGGGAAACATCCACACACAATCATTCACACTCATACACTACGGACAATTTAGCCTACCCAATTCACCTGTACCACATGTCTTTGGACTGTGGGGGAAACCGGAGCACCCGGAGGAAACCCACGCAAATGCAGGGAGAACATGCAAACTCCACACAGAAACGCCAACTGACCCAGCCGAGGCTCGAACCAGCGACCTTCTTGCTGTGAGGCAACATTACTACCTACTGCGCCACTGCGTCCCCCTTAACAGTTATTGAGTTATAATTATAATAAAAATGATGATGATGATTAAGAAGTCTAATATAAATAATTAAACAGTGAAAATTTATTAGGCTCATTATTGATACGAATATAAATTTTTGGAGAACGCGAAATACATCCCAGGACCTATGTCTTTTTGCAGTTTTTGTTTCCGGGAATCCGCCAGAGGCAGCTCTGTACGCTTTTTGAGATCTCAAATTTCTCTCGCAAGTGCCATTCGCTCCTGCTGTTCTCGCATAAATCCACCAGAGGCCGCTGTTGACTGACTAAAGGCTGGTTTATACTTCTGCATTGAGTAATTGGCGTAACCCATGGCACATGCCTCGCGAGTTGCCCTGCATTTATACTTCTGCACGCTGTTTGTGTTGCTCTGCAAAACATTTCTGAAACGCTAGTTGGCAGTGAGGTTTTTATGTTCCTGTGTGTCGATGTTCTTCATTGGTATTTTGTTTTTTCTGAACGCTACCTTAATGTGCAAGTGGCTCAAACTCGCTCATTCAGATGCTGGAATCGGCGGATGGGCAACAACTTCTATCATAAGGTAAACACAAAACAACAGTCTCCATCTGAAGCTTCTTCACAGGACACCACACTTGTAAACAATCGCTCCATCAGGCTAGCGCGGCTCTCTGTCCCGCCCACACTCATCAGCACTACCAAGCCGACCATCTACAAAGCTTGCGCTATGCTTTGTTGTGAGGTGTAGTTACATTTTTTGAGATGTGCACGTTGGCTATGCGTCCACGTGCAGGCTGCGCCAGAACATATGCCTGCGCTTGAAGCAGTAGTATAAATCAGCCTAAAGTGACTGATCAACCCCCTTTCCTAGACCCAACCGATAGAAGTGCCCACAGCCTTCCCCAATCCAGAAAAAGAAAAGCCCTCGCAGCCGCCTGACTTTTTACCGCGTTTTCTGATTTACCACATTCCTGTTATTTACTTGTTTATTTTATTTTTTGGCTTTTGTTTTACCTGCTTTCTGGAACAGTTCTTTGCCAGACTCGAAACCCATCGTCAAAGTCAACTCCTGTCTGCTCCTCAAGTCTGTCGATGTATACGTGGCGAGCTACTGAGCAAACCGGTAACAGCGGAAAAGCCTTCCACATGGAGGAAAGTGGTCAGCTGGTAGCACGGAAAGAAACAGAAGCATCATACTGCCCCATAGCATTCATTTTAAAGCTCTGGCTACATAGCTCGCGCTCTCCAGAAAAGTATACGGGGGTACGTAATCACAATGAGCAGGTGTTGATATCGTTGGATCAATTAATTCATTATTGTAATGAATTAAGTTAAAATTAAAAAAGGTTTGGGTGTAACAAGTTGAAGTACTTTGTTCTTAGGTTGTAAAATTGTAAACTGTAAAAGTAGAAGTACCTGATGCCAAATTCATCATTCCTCTAAAAAATAAAAGCAACACCTTTCTATCTATAAAAATATATGTGAAAAGAATTAAATGCGCTGTATGTAAGTTTTTGACTCTTCTAAAGAATAAAAACACCATAATATGTTTGCAGATCTTTAAGAAACATGCCAAGTAAATATTCTTGTTTATCGAAAAACAATGCTGAAGTCAGATATTCTGCTTTGAAAATGTGCGTTACGTGCCGGAACGGCTGTCTTTGTTTTGGTCATTTAAGCCTCCCAATGCCAGCACCCCGGCTTGCATTGGTGGAAAACAGCGTCATTCGTTCAGTCAGAATTATGAATGTAATGCGAATTACTAATTAGAAAATAATATAACTATTACGAACGTAAACATTAGGTAGGCAGGTTACATTGTAACCCCGTGTCCTAACAACACGCTACGTGACGAGATTTGCGATTGGGCTGTTTGCACCAGACAGAAATGTAAATTCTGCCATTCAGAAGCACAGAATAGTGCACTCACTGCACTCCAACGAAATGGTAAGAATTATAATCTAATTCATACACATTAAACCTCTTTAACATTAATAAACATGCTGAAGCATTATGTGTTGGTTTTGAGTCACAGTTGTAAAGTTCAATTTCAAATGGCTTATTTTATTTTCATAATCTGAGGTGAACTATCTGCTGCTGCTTTCAGTAGTATGGCAATAAATGTCATGTAAAATGGCATTCAAACTCACATTATTGGCATTAAACATTGAATAAAGCACATCAGGTGTACCTGATTATAAAATAAAAGTGTAAGTAAAAAACAAAATATGTTTAAGTGTTCGCTTTATCATGCAATAGTTGCAATGGCGTCTTCTAGTAGTCCCTTTTTAAGTTCTGGATCCTCCAAAATCTGCAAAACCACAAACAAACAGATGAAGTCAGAATTGTTAGCCCTCCTCTTAAATTTTAATTCTTTTATTTTTGTCCCCAATTTCTGTTTAACGGAAAGAAGATTTTTTTCAACACATTTCTAAACATAACAGTTTTAATAACTCATTTCTAATAACTGGTTTATTTTATCTTTGCCATGATGACAGTAAATAATATTTGACTAGATATTTTTCAAGATGCTAGTATTCAGCTTAAAGTGACATTTAAAGGCTTAACTGGGTTAATAAGGCAAGTTAAGGTAATTAGGCAAGCTATAGTATAGACTATCTAAAAATATATATTGTTTAAGGGGGCTAATAATATTGACCCTAAAATTTCTTTTATTCTAGGCGAAATAAAACAAATAAGACTTTATTATTTATTAAGAATAAATTTATTTATTAATTTATTTAAAAATTTATTTATTTATTATTATAAGAAATATTATCTGATATAATGTGCAAACATTCCTTGCTCTGTTGAACATAATTTGGGAAATATTAGAAAAAGAATAAAGAATTCACAGCAGGGCTAATAATTTACACTTCAATTTGACATGAACACACAAAAACCATTATGATCACAGTGGATTTGACTAAATGTTTGTTGTATTAGTGCTGATGATTGAGTACCTCTCCATCCTCGCTTTTATTACACAAAACCTTCCCAGTCAGAACACAGAAACTGATGGTCACACAGAGCTGAAGCACCGACAGCATGATCATCATGATATCCAGACCTCCGAGGATTATCTAGAAGTGGTCATTTTAGTATACAATTTTGTTATTTTTTACAATAATACATAAATAATATATACTTTGTTATGTAAAAAGGTAGGCCTGCCACAATAATCAATATATCGATTTATCGTGCAATACTTAGAGATGACATCAATAGTTTTTGCCATTGCAATATATATTTACAAATAACGTTAAATGACATTTACATTCTACCTTAGTTTTTAATTGAACATTTACCTAATAGGACATTTAATATATAAAATAGGATAGGGGTGACATGGTGGCTCATCGCCTCACAGCTTGAAGGTCGCTGGTTCGAGTCCCAGCTGGGTTAGTTGCCATTTCCTTGTGGAGTTTGCATGCAATCCAAAGACATGCGCTAAAGGTGAATTAAATAAAATAAATTGCCTGTAGTGTATAAGAGTGTGTGGGTGTTTCCAGACCGGGTTGCAGCTGGAAGGGCATCCGCTGTGTAAAACATGCAGGATAAGAATAAATGGACTAAGCCAAAGGAAAATTAATGAATATAAAATAGGATATTTACATTTTTAACATCTAATTATAGAATCTAAATAGCCTTTAGAATGCTAATTATTTTAAAGTGCTTATGGCTATTTGTTTTATTATGCTGTTATACAATCATTATATAATTAGTGGCATAAAACGATCTCAAAATGACAATGTTATCGCTTATCGCAACAATTTCTGTGGCAATACATTGCACAACAAAAATTGCTTATCGTGACAGGCCTAAAAAAAAGGTAATCAAATCATTACCTTACTAAGATTCCTGTAGTACAAACAGTTGTCAAAACTGTTCCCTCTAAAGCCATTATTAGGTGAATAATACCCATAATTTTCATAGCAGCTGAAATTGTTTCCCATTGCCAGATCTAGTGAATACAGCACCACAGCCGAGATAGCCATCGCAGCACTGACTATGTTCAGAAAAACTAGAATTACAAGCTGTAAAACAAACAAAAAAATATGAATAAATAAATTGCAGATGCTCAATAATAATAAAAAAACTGATGAAATCTCTTGATGCACACTTACCAGCCTTTGACTGGGAAACTTCACTGCGAGAACACACATTATTCCAATAACAAGGAACTAAAAGAAAAAGAAAAACCCTAGTTAACCCTAACCCTAAGCAAATAAAAACACTGGAGCGTTCAAACAGGCTTGAACTAAAGTTATAATAATAACAATAATAAATACAATTTAAATAATACATTCTATTTGTAACACTTGTCCTACATAACATGCAACACAAAGTGCTTCACAAGCATTAAAAAAAAAAGTAGAAGCAAATACAACAAAATAAACAAATATACTCAGATAAATGCACATGTACATATATTTATACAACAGTTCTGTCTGGTTCTTGAATCTGTTTGGCTGATAGCCGTGTGATGTCCTGCAATAAAACACTCGTACAGCCTCCTCACTCTTTTGTATTACTCCGCCGACATTAAGTGACAGAAGATGAATAAACACTGCAGTTTGACAAATATTGCAGCTGTTGGACAACATAATGTCCTTTTGAGGCTGAGAATGTAGTTGTTTAGATTGCAACTATGCAGTTCATTTATAGGGATAGTGTTCATTTTAAATATTTATAATGTCATACTGAGCAGAGCAAAGACGGTTGACGTTACACCACATGATGGCGACAGAGATCGCATAATAAGCCCTAAGAGGAGAAAAACCCAGCGTAAATTCAAACTGCAGCCGATTAAATCATTATAAAACTAGTAAGTGACTCCTAGTAAGGAAAACCTCAAACACGCTGCTTCCTGTGTGACAACATGGGAAAATCAACAAGCCAGAATTAACAAAAAAAAGCCAGATTACAATTTGCTAAATTACACTGGGATAAAGAATCATTTTTGGAGACATGTCCTGTGGTCTGATGGAACTAAGATTGAACTGTTTGGCCATAATGACCAGTGTTACATTTGGAGGACAAAAGGGAAAGCTTACAAGCCTAGGAACACCATCCCAACTGTGAAGAATGGGCTGTTTTGCTGCAGGAGGGACTGGTCCACTTCACAGCATAGATGGCATCATGAAGAAAGAACATTATGTAGAAATACTGAAGCAATATCTCAAGACATCAGCCAGGAATTTAACCCATAAGAACCCGGACCGATTTTTCCTTATAGGAAAATTATGGGGCATATAATACAGACCAAGTGGACCACTAATAACATGTTTCTGCAGTTGTTTTTGAAATACAACCCCTCTTTGTGAAAGATCTGTAATGTTACATATATGTCACATTAGGCGTTTAAAGCCCCATAACTGTGACCAATACATTTTGCAACAATTCTTTCGAAACATCAAAATTTGACCTTTTTTGTTATATATGGTTATTTGTGTATTGTTTTCACAACTTGAAAATGTGTGAACTAAATAAAAATAAATAACTACCTCACAGCGACACAGTGGCTCAGTGGGTAGCACTTTTGCCTCACAGCAAGAAGGTCACTGGTTTGAGTCCTGGCTGAGTCAGTTGGCATTTCTGTGTGGAGTTTGCATGTTCTACCCATGTTCGCGGTGGTTTCCTCCAGGTGCTCCGGTTTCCCCCACACAAGTGTGTATGGGTGTTTCCCAGAGCTGGGTTGTGGCTGGAAGGTCATCAGCTAAGTAAAACATATGCTGGATATGTTAGCAGTTCATTCCACTGAGGTAACCCTTGATTAATAAAGGGACTAAGCCAAAATAAAATGAATGAATGAATGAACTACCTCACACTGAAGGTCAACATGTTAAACATACACATGTTGTCAGCCACCATGGAACACCTTGTGTCATTTTCTCAGTATGCACGATTTCCTGGCATTTTGTCTAAGACCAATACGCAGATAGCTCCCAACCAGTATTTACGATTCTTTAACAGTGAAGTTAACAATTTTTTGAGTTCCAGATTGTTGCACACTGTACAAATGCGTTTGTTCCTTCAGCAACGCGCACATTTCTGCTGTTATTAACTTTCTGAAATATTCCAGTGGTGTGTGAAGTTTTGGCACTTAGTCATTTGAATGTGCACCCGGGGGTTTCAACTTTCTCCAAGAAAAAGTTTAGTTGCCCTTGCTGGCCAAAGTTTATGTTTTGCTGTGCAGCCTCTGAATCTAGATCACTTGATCTGCTAATGTCTAAATCAGATCCACTTGATTCACCGTCCTCCATGTCTTTTCTACTTCAAGTGTAATCAGGATCATCAATGTCTTTATTCGAGTCACTGTCACATCCCTCATACTCACTATCATCTCTGTGGATACACTTTAGTGCATTCTGAACATCAAATTGTTTCCTGAATCTAATCATGTTATTCTCACTTCAATTTTACAACCTTAAAATAAGACTAACATATGATATAAACATCTTGTTACAGCTTATAGTTATAAAAATAGTTTCAAAATACATTTCATTAACGATATAATTAATGTGACATTATTATTATTTTTTTGTTAATATATGCTTTGCAATGAGCAGTAGAAAATATTGAACACTAAAATAATTTAATCAGATAAATTAATTGAGCAGTTTGTTACTATTTTTCTTAATGTGACAAATACGTCACATCAAAATTCCACCTACTGTTTTAAGGTTAACAGCCCAATGTGACATATATGTCACTACAATATCTTTGTACCTTCATTTATATCATTTTGTTCAAGAAATGTATTTAAATCATGGTAAATGTAATCTAGGATGTTATTAAAACTTTAGAATAGTTAAATGGGTCAAAACATACCTTTAGTAATAAAAACAGATATTTTTAAAAATTGCTGACAGTGCAACATGTGCTCCCCACACAGTCCACCATTTTGGACATGTTGCCATGACAACAAAAATGCACACATTCTCACGTGACTGAACCTGGATGTTACTTATACGTCACTTTGAGACTTCCCAAGATAAAAATGAGGAATAATGCTTTTAAAAGACCTTTTCAGATGATCACAATTGTTTGTGACACCCGCGTCACAGTGGGTTCTTATGGGTTAAAAGTTGGCCACAAATGGGTCTTCCAAACAGACCATGACCCTAAGCAAACTGCCAAATTAGTTCAAATGTTCTTTAAGGACAATTGAGTGAATGTTTTGGAGTGGCCATCACAAAGCCCTGACCTCAATCCTATAGAAAATTTGCGGCCACAGTTGAAAAAGCTTGTGCAAGCAAGACAGCCTACAAATCTGACTCAGTTCATCTGACTTCAAACTATTGTGGAAAGCTTGTGGAAGGATACCCAAAACATTTGACTAAAGTTATACAGTTTAAAAGCAAAGTAAAAAAAACTACCAAGGAAATGCATGTAAACCTTTGACTCTAGAAATTAATACAAAAATTCTCTCATTATTCTTCACTATAATTTAGCAAATGTAAATCATTTAGGTTATTAAATGTTTAAGTTCCTTTTTTTTTATACTGCATGTAAACTTCTGGTTTCAACTGTATATGTGTATATATATATATATATATATATATATATATATATATATATACACACACACACACACACACACACACACACACACACACACACTATACATGCATACATATTACTCATTTTGAATTGAAAAGAAGATATTAAACAAATCTTACCACACCACCAATCAAAAAAGAAGAGCCAAACCCGAAGAAACCCACTGTAATGTTCATGACACCGACTACTATCTGCACAATCTATAGAACAAAAGAACAACAACTGTACCACTTTTACAAAACACCTAAATATAAAGCTGTTTAAAATAAAAAAAACTCACTCCAAGTGCTTTGTGAGTGCCAGTCAGCTTATCCTTCAGATCCTGAAATAAAAGCGCAGATTGTAGATTGTAGCATAAATTACTCTGATCTGACTAAATATACACTGTAGTCTACAATATACATTATACATTGCAGTCAGTCAGTCATTCATTCCTCACCTGAGTACCTGCAAAGGTCATATTACAGCTCTTAAAATATGAATACGATTGTGTGCAAATTCCAACTCTTTGTGTTTCTGATTTTGTGTCCTCCACCAACTGCAAAAACCACAGAAAGGAGAAAAGAAAAGCTTTAAAGTTACCTAGACCTATACTGACGTCCAAAGGCAAAGTGCAGTAACTAAATGTTCAGTCAAAAATTGCGACATAACCTACTGTAGAATGGGCTTTGTGAAATACGGTTGTGTCTTATGCTAAAGCTTCCTGAGTTTCCCTTTTTAGAGAAATAAAGTTAAAAACAAGCCAAATATTCAAGCCTAAACAAATCTGACGTTAGCTGGTGTTAAAATAAATAAAGAGTTTTAGTTATGCTTTACAATAAGGTTGTATTAGTTCAGGGGTGTCCAAACTCGGTCCTGGAGGGCTGGTGTCCTGCATATTTTAGTTCCAACCCCAATTAAACACACCTGAACCAGCTAATCAAGCTCTTTGTAGTTATACTACAAACTTCCAGGCAGGTGTGTTGAAGGAAGTTGGAGCTAAACTATGCAGGACACCGGCCCTCCAGGACCGAGTTTGGACACCCCTGTATTAGTTAATGTATTTACTAACATGAACAAACAATAAGCAATGCATGTATTACAGTATTTGTTCATGTTAGTTAAGATTAGTTAATGATAATACAGTTGTCCATTGTTAACGTTAACTCACGATGCATTAAAGGTGCAGTAGGTGATTGTCTTCAGAAACATTTTTTGTTGTGCTGGTTCAAAGTCTCTTCACAGCCCAATAGTAATGATTACAGTAAATGATCTAAATGTGTTTATATGTATTTTTATATTCTGGGTAAGGCATAAAACAAAACAAAATTCATCCAATTAAATATTGTCGGACCGACATCTGTCATAATTCTGATAAGCAGCTCAGACTGTCTGTCAGCAAATGTAGATTCGGACTTCTGCGCATCTGTTCACGCAGATCCGCCATTAGTGCGTGCCCGTCCGCGGTCATGAGACAGACCGGGAGAAATCAAATGCTGAACTAAACCTTTTAAAACCTGAATCAATATTGGAGTTACTTTAGCATGCTGGAGGAAGGATGACAATGGCTGAAGTATTAGACCTACTGTTAAACAGGTAATGTTCTGTTTTAAAACTATTTTAGTCAGGCTAAGCTGATGTTAAATTGTGTTCTGTTATGAATGACTTATATGCTCAGACGTGTTGTTCAGCCACTGAAATCTCCCGGTGAAAGATTGATGTGATTATTTTCAGTTTCATTAGGTCCTTTTAAAGCATCGATAATGTAGATTTATATTTAGTTTAACATCAAAACATCAGTAAATAGCGCTATTTCGCCAAAGCTGCTTTACTGAGCTGAAGTTGCTTTTATATTCACATTGGGTCATTTCTGAACAATGACAGCCTACGTATACTGTCTACCATGCTACTCTGAATATTCGCTCTGAAATAGCATGTAAGTGTGGCTAAGTAATAACTAACTGGCGAATGACATGAACTGGTGGGTTGTCTGTCTGCTGTTGTGACGTGGTGCACGGGCTTGCGATTTCAGGGGGTGTAGCTTTGAATCACAGTCCCTATCCTCCGTCCAAAGATAACATGCTAAGCGGTTACTGCACCTACTGCACCTTTAACTAATGTTAACAAGCATGAATTAGGCATTAGTAAATGTTAAACTATGATTAATAAATGCTGTACAAGTATTGTTCATACTTAGTTTATATTAATAAATATATTAACTAATAAAACCTTAATGTAAAGTGTGACCAGAATTTTTTATGTTTACTGTATGTTTTCTTTCATAATATACACCATAGTACACTTCATTCACACAAAGAAATAATAACGTGTGTATGTGTTGCATTAAACGAGAGGATCTGATTGGCTGTCAATGCTTTCATAATTGGAAATGAAAGTGCTCTGAATGCGATTCCAACAGTTCTTCTGCGCTGCGTCCATTACAACTTTTGGACATTTTTTTTAATGTGAATAGATCTTAAATGTGATGATACAATACCTTCGCAGGTGTAGCCCTCTTACACCAAGACTTTGCAGTCATAGCACAGAAACTGATCGCCACAATCAACTGAAGGATGAACAACACCCTTACATCGTTACACTGTCCTCCAAAAGTGTTCTAGAGGAAAAGATAAATGCATGCAAATAAATACAACATTTTTCATGTGATTTTTATGTTATATTTCAATAATACAATTTATAACTGTAACGTGTATTATCCCAGCAAACTATTCTGTGTTTAATAGACGTCTAATAGACATCTAAATGTAGACAGCTTGTCTAATACAAGGGCTGTCAGTGAAAATCTAATCGACATCTAAGAATAACCCAAAATTAGACTAGTCATCAAACAGAAAGATTAGACAGACTTTACGGGCTCTATTTTGACGGTCCATGCGCAGAGACGCCATGCCAAAACGCAGGGCGCAAACGCTTTCAGGGTGTGTCAGAACGCATTTTTGCTAATTTAAGGACGGGAAAATCCGCTTTGCGCCATGGCGCATGGTCTAAAAGGGTTGAGTTTATTTTCTTAATGAGGTATAAGTGTGTTTTGAGAATAAACCAATCAGAGTCTCATCTCCCATTCCCTTTTAGAGCCAGCTGCGTCGCGCCATAAGCGCATTTTGACGTAAAGTAAGTTCACTTTCGCTTTTGCTCTCGTGGATAGGGAAACCTTTACGCACAGACATCAATTAGCCTTTAAATAATTAATTTCGTTTGTTAAGCGCAAATATTTGTTTCAAAACTATTTCTAAATTCAGTTCTAATTTCCAGCAAACGAATAAATGAACAATATTAAACAAGTGTGTTCAAAATACTTAGTTATTTCCAAATACACCTGCCATGCCCCATATGGTCTAAAATTTGACACGTGGACAAATCTAAGCTTGTTTTTATTAAAACAAATATAAATATGGATATAATAAATAATACTGCTAATAATAATCACATTATACAAAAGCAAATTGAATGAACTGAAAAAGCCTCCTGAGATGAAGAAAATAAGGCAGTGGTTTTTCAATCTTCATGTAGGCTAGAAATGTGTTTGTAATATTTTAATCATTTATATTTATATCCTGTATATATTCTTATTTTATATATATTGTAGCGAGTACACTGATGCCATGTCGCCCTGGTCACAAATTCACCCCAGCTGGAACCTCATCAACACCGGATCGTTCACAGCTGGACCTCATTAGCCAGGGAGACATATAAGCCAGCCCCACACAGGAGGAAGGCGAGCTTCATTCTCAGATGACTCCATGCGCTAATGCTTGTGTCTCTCAGTCTCTCCCACAGCGGTCTCCAGCTGGTGACGATCCAGCACCCGACTTCTCACTATCCTTCACCTTCTCCCCGGAGCACCAGAGCACTATTACCAAGAAGAGCACCGTATTTCACCCCTTTCACTTTGTAAATAAAGCTAGTGGTGGGCAAAGCGAGGCTTCGTGAAACACTGAAACAGTCGAAGCAAATGTGTCGAAGCTTCGAAACGTTTCGAAACCCCACTCTACAGTGACATCTAGTGGTCATTTTTTATGCATTGCACTGAAACAGCTTCAGCAAAGAACAGTTAAAGAAATTGAGGGATTAAACCCAACTTTGTATGTTGGATCCTTCAAGTAACATAGTATAGTGGTTAAGGTGTCAGACTTCCATGCGGGGTTAATAGGTTTCTAAGCCAGGCTATGGCAGTTGTTTTGAAATGCTTTAATACCAATTGTTAATGCTTTGCTCTTATATCGTTTTGTTTCAACATTGGTCTGATATCCGAATGAACAATTTGTGAATAAATATGTCTTGTTTTTGTCTTAAAACTGGGTTGTTGCTAGATCAAAAACGGTGGCCTGAAGTTATCAAGAATTATTTATATTATTCATTCAATTTCCCATTTATTGTATTTTATTAATGTCTACCTAAACCCAACCATACTGTAAAATATTTATTATTGTTTTACAGTGTTACAAAAATGATGCTAAATTGATGGCGTAACTGCAGCTGTATCCTATTTAGGCTACACAAAACAGAAACATGATTAAAATACATAAAACCATGATTTCAGAGTATTTGTACAAGTCGGGATTCGAACCCAAAACATCATGCAAAGCATAGAATCATTTAGCAAACACACAGTCCTCTAAGCCATATGACACAGAGATTGTTTGAAGACCTTGGTAGTCAAATGAGGATTTGCCAGGTCTCGAAATGTTTCTAAGTTGATCGATGCTTTGAATCGCTTTAGTCACGTGACTTGGGTGCTTCGGATCATGCTTCGGTGCAGTGTTTCGAAACACTTGCGCTTCGGGATCTCGACACGGTGTCGAAACATCAGTTTCACGTCAGCCATCCCTAAATAAAGCACCCTCCGGGAACTTGTTTGTAACTAAACGCAACTGTATATATATATATTTATCCTTAAGAAATTATATATTTTTCATATGTAAAGATATTTGCGTATTGCTCTGCATCTTGTGTGTAGTGTGTAAGCCAGGCGCACTTTGCGCCAGACAATAGACTGACTCTGTTCTGGTCTAAAGATTAGACTATTTACAGTTTCTCAAAATAGCAACGCGCCAAAAGACGCCTGCTTTTTTAAACCAGAACGCCTATGGCCGCACATTTGAGCGCAAATGCATTTGCTATTTAAACAGTGTGGCGCAACACCTCAAAATGACCCTTGCGCCGAGCTGAATGTACCAAAAGACTATTACGCCACGCCTTGCGCCACATTGCGCCGGGTGTATGATAGAGCCTTATATGTTTAGTCATTAATTTCTGTTTATTTGATGACTAGTCTAGTTTTGGCCTATTCTTAGACCAAATTTAGCCTTGTTTTAACCAAGACGTCTATATACGTGTTACGCAAGAGCGTATTGGGTTGTTTCTGTGCCGCTATGTGTGTGTGTGTGTGTGTGTGGCTCTCTTTCTCTCTCTCGTCCTGTCCTGTTCCAGTTTCCAGGTCGCCCTGCCCTAATTGGACGTGCTGCGTACGTGCACTGTGGTTGGTGCACGGAGAACGCAGCATCTTTTGAAAAGGAAACCGATAGAGTCAGATCTCTGGGGGGAGAGACGGAGAGCTTTCCAAAGATTGTGGCTATCTTGTTTAAAACCTGTTGATTTATAAACTGTGAACTTTAAGGTGCACTCCACCTTTTTCCTCCCCCCTCCATTTTGGTGATTGTCATACACATAACTTGTCTGATAAAGCTGTGAGCTGAGCGCCGTAGGGGTTGAGTGCCATTTACTTTGACACTGATTTTCTCCTGTTTTTGGTTTAGTTTTTTGGTGTAGTGTTTAGGTGCGTTCGACTTCATGCAGCGCTGCGCAGATCGATCGAAATTTGTCTTAAAGCGGTGCATGCTGGTTAGAAATCTTGTCCGGATTGATGCTGCGCCGACGCCACGTGACTGTCACATGTGGCATCAAAGTACCGCGACAGCGCTCCGAGATCAGACGGCAGACTCAAACCGTGCAGCTTCTGAAGAGCGACTGCAGGAGCTTTGATGACGACACCGATATTACACGATTGGCCGAGTTCACCACATGACAACAAACACGTGTATTTCGGGTTTATAATTGGACAAATTCCTATTCAAAAGTTCAAAAGTTTCAAAACAAACAATTCACTTTTCACACCCTCTCTATCTTGCACACATCTTGCTAAAAGACTACAAATATTTTACTGCAGTATCATCTTTTGTTAAATAATCTGGTTATAAAGGTTAGCTTGTTTGTACAGGTTTATTTTTAACTTTTTTATACAGACTATTTACAGCATTCATCTCCATGAACGATTTAAATGATATATTTTAGTGTATATTTTAGTGAATAACCTAAATATGAACTCAAAAAAGTCTCAAAGACTTGAAATAAAATAATCATCATCATTGATCCTGCCACCTTAAAGCTCTCTTAACAAATTAAAGTAAAGAACTATTTTATTAAATAATTATAAAATGGCTTTATTATTATAATATAAATATATATTTTATTTCCTGTCTAGCAGTTTAAAGGCGACCTGCTCTTTCTGGGAAACTTCTACATCGCTCACTTATTTTACCTTTTGTTCTTTTCAACACAATCTTTTTGGATTAAAATGCTTTTTTGAAAATGCATTCATTATCCAAAATAATCTCATTTATTAAGACCTAATCAAAACACCTTGTTTTGCTTTTTACATTGGAAATTTTTATATCTATAAATGTACACATATGTAAACCCTTTTTTAGCACATTCAAACAAGAAGTATTAGGCTAAAGATTGATGTTTAACTCCTAGAATTTATGCTTATTGCTTTGTATTTAATAGACCTGTTCGTTTTTATGTTTATATTAACCTCTCATTTCCTCTTATTTCTCTTATGCATTTGTTATATATTTTATTCATAATTCTCCCCTATTGTTTAAAAAGGAACTATAGTTTGTAGAGCCTGTATTCTGTTTTATTTGCAAATGTTTTGTTGTTATAAATAAAAATAACAAAAAAATTATGATGACGCCATGTGATCGGTCATCATGACTGCAGCAACTTTGAGTCCCGAAGTGTCCAGCTGTCCGTCTTGACTACTCCGTTTTCAACTCCGCCTCCGCCTGCGCTCGGCTAATCTCGTTGATCACCGGCTGCAGCTGAGCTTCATGTCGAACGCACCTTTTGTCATTTATTTTCTTCATTTCTGTTTTTCATTAGGTAAGTTATCTTGGGGGTGGAGTTAGTTAATATTTTGTTTATTATTTTGGCCTTGCTCAGCCCTAAAGCTTTTTGTTTGCGCTCATTTATTTGTTTCTAGTAAATACAAACTTTTTCCGACTTCTCACAATAAAAGAACCTTAAGGGTAATTTAAAATCATAAATCTGCTAACTGTTTATTTTTCTTTAACTTTTATGTTCGCCTTCAGCCCTTGACATTTGGGGTCGTAACAATACGTCATCTATTAGACATCTTAGACATGTTAGACATCTATTTAGACATATTTTAAAAACAAAAATGCTTGCTGGGATAATTTATTCAATCATTTACATTAAATCATTTGCATTTACAATCAGTATAATCAGTACATTATTATAGTTTTCAATGTTTAATTTTGTAATCTTGCCAAGTGAACATTTTGAGACTAGCTACATTTAAATAGATACAAATATAATACTGAATCGAGTGAGAAATGTCTTACCGAACTGTAGAATAAATCGCAACTCTTGAAAGAGAAAATAAGACCAAAACATCCCAGCATGAGATTCAGGATGGCAAATATTATCTGCACAATCTATGGGATAAGAGAAAACAATGTTTGCATCAGTTTAAATCTGTAAACAGTTTTACTTGATATAAATAAGGATATACACAGCATGGGAATATCCTAATACTGCACAATTGTTGGTGTGGGTTTCCTCCGGGAGCTCCGGTTTCCCCCACAGTCCAAACACATGTGCTATAGGTGAAATGACTCAACTAAATTGGCCGTAGTGTATGTGTGTGCATGCGAGTGTGTATGGATGTTTCCCAGTACTGAGGCAAACTGGAAGGGCATTAGCTGTGTAAAACATATGCTGGATAAGTTGGCGGTTCATTCAGCTGTGGCGAGCCCTGATTAAAAAAAGGCCTAAGCCGAAGGAAAATGAATAAATGATTTAAAAAATGCTAACTGTGATCAATTTTTCAGTTTGTATAAGTAGCGAGAATTAATAATTGTGCATTTATTCTGTATTGCTCCCTTGATAACAACATTAAATAAAAAATAATAAAACCATTTCCAGTTTAAAAGAAGATTTAGTTTTTTTAGTAACGTAAAACCACTCCGAGGAGCATTTGAGGATGATGGACTTTGCAGCCTGAAAAGAATCAAGACACAGGTAAAAACCAAATTAGAAATTCTTTAAAAAAGAAAGAGAGAACAATTAAGGAAGAAAAAATAAAAAGAGAAAAAATTATGGGATGTTATAGTATTAGGGTGTTGTAGATGAGTATAGATAAGGATATGTGTCTTTAGGAGGGATTTTCTGTAAGATTTATTATCAAATGATACTTCTAATTTATTTAGGTAGGACAGAATAGTTGGACAAAACACTTAAGCTCATTGTTAGACAAGAATTTTAGGGAACACAGAAAAATTCCATAATTTTGTATTATGCTTAATTAGAAGGAACTAAAATCACAGAGGAAAAGATTTATAAAAAAAGTCCAGGTCATTACTGATACTCCCACTGAAAAATGACTTCCTGAATGTTTTTTTTATTATAAAATTTTAAAAGTACAGAAAACATACATGCCTGGGGGTGAACATAAATCAAATACAAATATACATATGTAATAATCAAATAAATACATTGTAGAGTTCACAAAGTTTTAAAGTGCGTAGGGCTTTCTTATTTAGAGTCTCTGACAATATATAAGCATAATTCAGTCATCAACACCTTAAAGTTCGGTTTCTTATTGGTAAATTTACATGTAAAGTTTTAAAGTTTTGTTAGCAAAATAATTAAATTAATTAAATAAAAACAATTTTCCTCTTGAATAGGTACATAGAAATGCCAAAAAATACATTTTCCCACAACAATGATAGAGGTTTAGAACACTGTAATTTGTTATTAATACATTTTTGCACCTCACTCCATAAGTCGACTGAGTATATGCGCAATGCCAAAACAAACGCAGTCTCCTCAAATTCACTACAACAAATACAATTTATATCAATCCCACTTTTAAATTTGTGTAAATAATGTTTTGCTGGATAAAATCTGTGGAGAAGTTTATAAGATATTTCTTTCATTTTATTTCTAACATGGTATTTCTGTGGTTTTTTCCAGCAAATCAGTTGATCCTTTAATAAAGACATCCAATAAGACTGAATATAATACAGTAATAAGTTATCTTTGGAAAAGGGTACGGATAGCCTTATTATTACTCTTGATATAATCAAAAGATGATGTGTATATATATATATATATATATATATATATATATATATATATATATATATATATATATATATATATATATATATATATATATATAAAAAGACGATGCATCAAGAGCAAGGACTTGATTAATACCTCAAAATAACATATGGACCCCTGAAGGAATTGAATTAATAACAGTTGAAAACTCTTGCTGGGTAATTGAAATTTTGTAATAAGAGAGAAATTCAGTGTAAGAAAAGAGTATATCTTCTTTATTATATAACTGGTTAACTAGATTAATGACTTCCTGAATGTATTGAATGACCAGGATGACAATACCAGGATTCATTGAGCTCAAACTGCAAGAGTGGTTCAGGGAGCAGGAGACATCATTTTTACACATGGATTGGCCACCACAGAATCCAAACCATAACCCTATTGAGAATCTTTGGAATCTGCTGGATAAGACTTTGTTCAGCAGTCGTCAGAACAAGATGTTGGAGAAAAATTAATGCAACTCTGGATTGAAATAAATGTTGTGACATGGCAGATCCATACTGAAATGATTTCATGGCAGTGTATTTAAACAGATAAAAGAACCTAAAGTTAATGTTTTAAATGAATGTGTTTCTGGATGTAATCACACTTTAATAGCAGTTTTTAATCAGTGAATTGCCCAGTTGCAAGACTACTGACTGACAAAAAAATTCTGTGACTACTGTGATTAATCAGACACTAAATAAAAATAATAAACAAAACAATAAATATTACATTTTTGACAATACTATTTCCAGGGTGTTAACAAAGTAGGTTTGTTACTATAAAGCATTAGAATAGTCTAGTTTTTAAATACAGTTTCCAATCATTATTTAATAGAATGTTTGACAGTAATTTCTTCTTTCTAGGAGGTATGCAAAGAGTTTTACAACATGTTATGCATTTACTGAGAGCAAAACATATGGATTAGCACATTTAACTTTTCCATTTCTTAATAATAATAATAAATTTGTATTTTTTACCTATTTGACTACAAAACAAGTTGGTTTGAACATTATAAAGTGCTTAACACATGCAGCTTTCTCCAGCCTCGCCTAGACTGCAGCTCTGTACAAGACGTTTGGCCAAAGGAGAAATAAATGGTCATGCCTAACTGAGCGTGGTTCCACTCAAGGTTATTTTTCCTTCACATTCGTCAATTGGTGAAGTTTGTTCCTCGCCGCTGTCGCCACTGGCTTACATGGTTAAGGACTTGTTGAGCTGCGCATCGATGGATTTGCTCGTCAGTGTTTGGGCTTTCAGCAGTGAAAATTAAACCACAGTGAACTGAACTAAACTGAATTCTGAAAACTGAACTGACACGATTTCAATTTATTATAATCTTCCATGTGAAGCGGCTTTGACACAATCTGCATTGTGAAAGTGCTATAGAAATAAAGATGAATAGAATAACGTGCTGTATGTTTCACTCACACTGGACGCTAGAGGGCGCCCTCTTGCAAAAAATACAAATATGCAAGATTATTTTAAGTTAGTAATTTGCAGTCAGTTTTATAAACAAAGCATTGTTACAGACGAATAAAATAAATGTTAAAACATCTCTGAATAATGAAAGTACAAGAGAATAAAAATGGTTGGAACAGTATGGGTTTATGTGTGTTCTTTGAGTCATTACATTTTTTGCATAAGAAAACATTCATTCATATTCCTTCGGCTTAGTCCCTTTATTTATCAAGGGTCGTCACAGTGGAATGAACCGACAACTATTCCAGCATATGTTTTACACAGCGGATGCCCTTCCAGCTGAAACCCATCACTGGGAAACACCCATACACATTCATTCACACACATGCACTACGGCCAATTTAGTTTATTCAATTCACCCATACCGCATGTCTTTGGACTGTGGGGGAACCCGGAGGAAACCCCCACCAACACAGTGAGAACATGCAAACTCCACACAGAAATGGCAACGGGCCCAGCCACTCATAAGAAAACATCATATTTATAATTGAATGATAATTAGCATAGCAGCTATTACAGTATAAAATAATATAAAACAAAAATGATTAGCCTCGTGCCATGATAAGAGGTTACAAAACTATTTCAAACACTCGCCTGACCTCCTGCAGCAAGTTTGGAAAACATGTTATTAGATGTTCTGTTTTGTTGGCCAACAGGTTTATTAATGCTTCTCATAAGGACTTCGGGAAGATGTCTGGGTGTGTTGCGTTTTTAAATGCATCATTACTTGGTCTCCTGCTTCTGCTCCTCTCTGGCGTTCTCAGTCAAGTCCTATACTGATAGGTGACTGTTATTCAGTTGAATACTGGTTAGCAGGTTTGGGTATTGGCTCTGCTGGCTTGTTGTCTGAATATCCAGAGAAAGACATTTTCTGACAGGATCTGGTATCTAGGACTAGATCTTATTTATCTGGAGTGAATTTCTAATGTCTTTTTTATTATTATTAAAGCTCTTAAAGTAATGCTTATGTCAATATCATGATAAAAGCTTTTGCAATTATCACCAAAAATATATATAGTTATACCATCATGCTACTAAAAGAAAAGCCTGGTGCTTGAGCAGTGTGTACTTTTTGTGGTTAAATCTTATGACACTATTTCCCGTTGTTTGGTGTGTTTAGATGGGCAAATCCATCAGAGTTTGTTTTAATCAAACCAAAACTGCCTAGCGTGGATGTAAACACTTCTCTAAAACCAAACAAGTTGACCAACGCCTCTGGTCTTTTTAGGGTGCACTCAAACTATACTATCCAAACCGTGCCAAGGTGTGTTCCCCAGTCCGAATCAGGCTCAGGCACGGTTCAGTTGGCCGGCCCTGGCCCAGATGGAAGAGGTGTGTCAGAGCGAGGTTAGGTTGAACTTTGGCACGGTCCGCTTGAAGTGTGTATGTGAAGCACGTCTGAGCCCAAAACTGACGCAACATCACTTTAAGGGTCTGTTTCATATGGATTTATTAATCATTCTTACTTTTCAATGAACACAGATGTCATAGTTTATTAAAGACGCACACCTTCTAATACGTGCAGCACGATGACTTTTATGATTATTTATGAGCGTTTGAAAGGCAAGCAGCAACATGAGTGCAGGCCGTCGGGGGAGAGGAGAAAAAAAGACATAAAGGTATGCGAGTTCTCACTGGGGTGGTACCTTTTCAAAAGGTACACATTTGTTTTTAAAGGGTGCATATTGGTACCTCAAAAATATATATTAGTACCTAAAAATTTTAAGAGGAACATTTTTGTACTTTTTAGTTACCAATATGTACACTTGAGGTATTAATGTGGACCTTTTAGGTACAAATGTGTAGGTTTTAAAAAAGGTACCACCCCAGTGACAGCTCATACCTTTATTTCTGAGAGTAGTACTGGGTAAATCACTTTAAAAAATCACTTACCATTGTAGTTAGTAATGTAATCTAGGGTACTTATTTAAAGTAGTATATTCTGAATACTTTTAGATTACAATCTAACTAACTTTTTTAAAACTTGCTAACTAATGTACAGTAAAAAAAAACTAAAGTAAATGTATCGTTTTTGCCCTAAACATAAAATAAAAATGCATTAAAAGGTTACATTACACAAGGATTTTCCAAACTGTGGTTCAATTTATACTAGCAGTAGCCTATAATTAAATTAAAGTGAACATTGAACAATTAAATAATAATTATTATTAAATATTAAATATTAGAACTGTGTAAACACCTGTATGTGCCCCCCCCCCAATACACCCCCACTCTCCTCTAACTTAAACTCCTCGCAATAACTGCACTGTTTAACATTTGCACGTTTAAAATTTGCACATTCACTGCACCAATTTGCACATTCACTGCACCACATTGAACTGTTTACTTATTGAACTGTACATACCCACTGCATATGGGCATTTGTAATTATGTACACACCCACTATACATATACACTTGTAATCATGCTTATTTATCTGCATACTACTGACTATTAATAGCAACCTGTACATATATTCATATATTGTAACATATACACTTGTAATCATGTTTATCTATCCCTGTACATATATTCATATATTGTACCATGTACACTTGTAATCATGTTTATCTATCTGCACACTACTGATTATTAATAGCAACCTGCACATTTATTCATATATTGTAAATCTGTTCATAGCTTATCCAACCTGTATATATAAAGACTAATATTTTATATAACATATGTTCATAATTTAACATATTTAATCCCTCTATTAATTACATTATTTCTATTTCATAAGCTTTGCAATAACCAGATTCGTGATAAATGTTTGTGAATTTTTTTAATTTATTTTTTTGTATGTTTGCGCGAGATGTTGTAGGTGTGTTTGCATGCAGTGAGTTTGTGTATGTGCGCGTGTTGTTGAGGGTGTATATGCATAGACCGAGTTTATATGTATATGCGAGTATGTATAGGTGTGTTTGCATGCTGCGAGTTTATATGTATGTGCATGTAAATGTGGGTATTTATGCGAGAATCGAGTTTATATGTATATGCAAGAGTGTATAGGTGTGTTTGCATGCAGCAAGTTTATATGTATGTGCGTGTGTTAATGTGAGAGTTTATGTGAGGATCGAGTTTATATGTATGTGCGTGTGTATGTGGGTGTATTCATGCGTCAAGTTTATATGTATATACACAAGTTTCATCCATGTTGTTTTGAACATCCAGTAGTATAGGTGTATATGCGAGTAATTTATAGGTGTATATACATGTGTTTTATGTATGTGTTGATAAGCAAAGTTTGATTTAAATCCTATACAGCACCTCATACAAAAGAACATGTCCATGCATCCTAATATTGTTTTTTTTTATGCTATCAAGTTTCTAACTCACCCCAAAAACTCTCTGTGTGCTTGACAGCGTCTCTCTCATATCCTCTGGCACAAAACACACCGGTCCATAACACAGAGAACCCAGAATCTGGCACAGCATTGGCCATTTGCTCTTTGGGTTCGAGGAGACAGTGATGATCATAGTGCCCTCGCCATGAGACACGGTCACAGACATCCTGCCGGCGGAAAAATAGACACCTCTGACCTCACATATCATAAAGAGAAAAATCACAAGCTCAAACATCCGCAAATCCCAACTAAGTGTCTTAATATTTATGACATTTGTTAATACTCTCAAAATGAGTACTAGATCATGCTTTAATAAACGGCTATCGTTTCCGTAAGTAAGAGGAAGTAAACATTACCCTGGCACGGTTTATGAAGAGATTCAAGTCAAATAGTTTTTACTGTGTTTTTTAATCGTTTTTCGTTTTTATATAGCACCTAACTTTCTTATATGTTATGAAAGACGGTAAACTAAAACTCACCTTATAAAGAACTGTATATTTTAGTCCAGAATGAGCGTTATTGTGTCTGGTTGGTCTGCTTCTGGCTGAAAGTGGAAATACTTGTTTTTTGTTTCCTGTCAGTAAGTTACGTAACGTTAAGTTTTCCTTGGTCCACAGCAGCTTCAAATATAAACATCACTGCTGGTGTTTTTGATATACTTTGCAAATATTAACACACAATTAACACACAATGCTACTTTTAAGACCTTGTTTTGTATTTTAAATCACTGCGCAGACTGTAAAATCTATGGACGTAGTATCCGTGACGTCACCCATAGGTTTCTGAAGAGCGCAAAAGAAGCCACAAGTAGGCGCGGCCTATAGATATATACATTAGATGTCGCCTGGCCTTTTGTTGTCTATTGGACGGAATGCGTTAATAGCGCCGCCATCTTGGTACAGAGTAGCGCTCCTTTAAAATGAATGCGGGACCAAGGTACAGTAAAGGACTGTGGCCATCCAAAGCCAGATATATATATATATATGTAAAAGGGGCACTCAGGGGTAGACCCTCGACCCCTAAGACTAACCCAAAGATGGTCTTCCCAATGGTAAGTATCCAAGTTAATGGACAGTGACAAGCAGAGTAATCACGGTTCAAGCAAATCTCAATTTTATTTCTTACATTTACTATTTAAAACATTGAGCTCAACATCACAATAAAAATGTTGCCTTAATTACACAGTGTTCCTAGTAACAAAAACACCAATTAAGGACACCGTCCTAACTCTGAATTCATAAGCGCTTAAAGCATCATCCCCACAAATGGACAGGTAGATGGATCAATGTGTACCCGATATCACTCTAGAACACCATACATTTAGCCAAAAAAAAGGAAATGGACGCAACAAAAAATCATAAGACAAAATCAATACAATACCCCAAAAAAAAAAATCCATACAACCATAAACCCACCCACAAATGGCATAAACCGAATCAATAAAGCTAGTTGGGTGGTGATTCTAGAACACAACAAAAAAAAATACATAGCAATAAAAAAACATTAAACAATATCAATACAAATACCAGGAAGACTATACCAATATAAATCCCACCCGCAATCAACAAAAATGAAATTGGTAATCAGTTGTTATTTCTTGGTTATTCAATGTGTCCCACTCCAGCATATAATAAAACCCAAATAGGAACCACTATGTAGGACCCCTAGATGTTGAAAACAAAATCATACACCCCAAACAAAACAAAAAATCAAAATATAGTGAATCATATACACCACAAACCACACAATTCAAAATATCACCGTCACACCAACCTTGGTTCCGATTGGGCAATACTAAGCCAATAAGTTAGTGTCACATCATCACTACAATCATAACAACGACACCACTTTCTAAAAATAATAATCATAAACTAATAATAATGACAACAGCAACCAAAGCAACCCATACAAAGAAAGAAAAAGAAAAACGAAATGGAATAACACTTCGTACAAACTTACATCACTCAAAGCAAATAACAAACACACTAGGCTAACATGGTTTCCGACGGCAACACTCGTAGATGGTTTGAGGACCTGTATAAATCATACAGCGAGCGCGCATGAATGAGGCAGCGCACATGAATTGGCCAAGGAGGATGGAGTCCGAAGCGCTTGCGTCTGATGTCCACACACGCACGCGTAGGAATGCAGTTCAGAATAGGGCCAGATGCCACTTAAATTACAGCAAAGCAGCAGCTAGCAGACTCTGCAAAACAACAACATTCCTTAAAACTCTTTTCCCTTTTTTTTTCTACGTTTACTCTAACACACAAAACTTACCTTTGGAATAAACTCTACATTACGCCCATAAATTGGCCGCACATAATCAGGTTAATTTCAGACTGCCACCACTATCCTTAAAAGAAAAATACACTCATGTAAACTTAATAATCCATTCCATCTTACTCACGGTTTCTAACATGCTCTACTCACTGGAGGGCTAGTGGAGAGACTCCCATCAACCGGTCCAAACAACAAAATGCCAACCCGAGACGGAGCGCGCACCTGCTCATATAAAGCCTTGACGTGATTGGCACGCAACGCACGCACCTAAAGGGTCCGCCTACCACAATCTACCCCCAGCTTTTCAATCATTGTCCCAATGATTTAGCTATAACCACGGGCGAAAAGTCCTACCATACTCTTGCTCCGAGGGCTTCCCAGCCTGTACCAATAAACTAGCCGATACATTACCAGTCACTGCTTTGGGCAAATGATAACGATTAGAATGCTTCCCTGCAGTCACTCTATTTGATCTCCGTAAACTCCCCATCCCTTCAACAGAGGGCCCCCCAACTGGTACGTTATGTACTGGGGCCAAGGAGGAAACCTCACTAGATGTTTTATCTTGGCCTATTAGCAACAAATCATCTTCCGAAGAAGTAGGTCCCAGAGTTTTAACTACAACCGCTACAGAATCGTCAGCACACTCGCATTGTCCAGAATCCTGATCTAGTAACCCTAAATCAATGTGGTTAGTCGGTTGTACAGTGGTAGGTGCCAACTTTAATAAGGACCTATGTACATGTTTAATCCGGGAAGGCTCTTCTAAAGGAGAAATGCTGTACACCTGCCCCCCATCCCGCGGGGCCCTCACTATCTTATACAATGTGGTCGACCAGTGGTTTTGAATTTTATTTCGACCCCGAACTCCACTTTCACGCAACTGCACAATATAGTTCTCCATCAAAGGTTGACCCTTCACTGTCTGATCGTACAACGTCTTCCTATAATCTGCTGCTGCGTCCAGCCGGGCTTTCACTCTTCCATATGTGTCTCTTAACCCTTCTTGATGCTTTGCCACCCAATCTTCCACACTACCCATAACCGGTTCTTCAACCGCAGCAAGCAGAAAATCTACCGGCAACCGAGGGTTCTGACCAAACATTAAAAAATGAGGAGACTCCCCAGTTGAATGGTGGCAAGTGGTATTATAAGTAAACACCACCTGTGCCAAGTGCGAGGTCCAAGAACGTTTCTGTTCAGGTGGAAGGGAACGGAGCAGATCATGCAGCGTGCGATTAAACCGTTCACACTGTCCATTCCCTTGTGGATGATATGGGGTCGTGTGCGTCTTCTGGATTCCATAAAGTTGACATAATTGAGCAATCACCGCACTTTCAAAATTCCGCCCCTGGTCAGAGTGAATCCTAGCCGGCACACCCAGTTTATAAAACCATTCTTGGACCAAAACACTAGCCACCGTGGTCGCCCGCTGATCCCTTGTTGGCACCGCTAAAGTGTATTTAGAAAATACATCCGTCATAATTAGAACATGCTCACGCCCATCACTAGATGGTTCTAATAACGTGAAATCAACCGCCAATATCTGATTGGGCTTGGATGCCAACAAATGGCCCATTGGGGCACGTGCTGGTGGCTTGCTAGACTTCGAAATGGCACACTGCCAACAATTCTGGCAGCGTTCCTGCACATATGCACTCATACTTGGCCAATAACACCTCCTGCGAATCAAGTCATAAGTTCGATCTCTGCCCTGATGACCATGCCCATCATGCAGCTGCTGAAATACCTCATCCCACAGCACCTCTGGTAGTACTAATTGATCTATCTCCTCCCCCCCGTCAGGGAGCTTCAGTTGCCGATACAACAATCCTCCCTTTAAAGCCAATCTTCCCCATTGTCGTAAAAGCTCCAACCCAAACTTTGACATTAACTGTCGCTCCGCCTTTGAGGGATACTTCTTCATAGAAAAGAACCTGAGAAATGGCCCCACTGTTGGATCACCTGCCTGCATTTGCTGTAGTTGTTCTCTGGAATACAGTGGGAAGACAGTAATAGCATGTTGCTCTGCTCCTACCAAATCACCTTTTTCCCTCTGACAACTGTCAGCTGTGCGAAGCCTCTCAGGTAGTGGTGTACCCGACAATGGTTTCGACCTCCCAGAGGAATACTGTCTTGACAAGGAATCAGCATTTCCATTTACACGGCCAGGGCGATACTTTATCTCATAATCAAAAATCTCCAACTGGGACACCCAACGGTGTTCGGTTGCACCTAACTTGGCGGTACTCAAATAGCTCAATGGATTATTATCAGTATAAACTGTGCAGTGATGGCCCAAGAGATAATCCTTGAACTTTTCTGCCATTGCCCATTTTAGGGCAAGAAGTTCTAACTTCATAGAGCTATAGTTCTCCATATTCCTTTCTGTTGGCCTAAGCCCTCGACTAGCATAGGCCACTGGCCGCAACTTACCACCCTGCTCCTGGCTAAGCACTGCACCTAACCCTAAATGGCTAGCATCCACATCAAGCACGAATGGCTTAGAAAAATCAGCATATGCCAAGACAGGGGCAGTTACCAACTTATTTTTAAGATACTGGAACCCCTCTTCACACTCTGGGGTCCAGCAACTTTCCATTGGTTTACCTGACCCCCTTCTTTTCTTTGTGCCAATCAATTCTGCTACCAAGCGATGGAGAGGGGCAGCCAACTTTGCAAACCCCTCTACGAATCGACGATAGTAGCTTGCAAACCCTAGAAATGATCTTAGATCTGCAACATTGTTCGGCCGCTTCCATTCTGCCACTGTGCTTATTTTACCTGGGTCAGTAGAGACACCCTCCCTCGAAACAACATGCCCCAAGTAATGTACTTCTTGACGGAAAAAACAGCACTTATCCAATTTTGCTTTTAAGCCCTCTTGTTGCAGACGGCCAAACACCAACTCCAGCCGTTCCAGGTGTTGGGATACGGTGGACGAAAAAATAATAATATCGTCCAGGTACAACAACAATGTTTGGAACCGTTGATCCCCAAACATCCGCTCCATCAACCTTTGGAACGTGCTTGGGGCATTGCACAGCCCGAAGGGCATCCGATTAAATTCAAACAGCCCAAAGGGTGTGCAAAAGGCCGTCTTGCTCTTATCCTGCTCTGCCACTGGAACTTGATTGTATCCACTTACCAAGTCTAAAGTAGAGAACCACTGTGCTCCCGAAAGGGCGTCCAGAGTCTCTTCTATGCGAGGTAAGGGGAATGCATCCTTTCTTGTTTTCTGATTTAACTGACGATAGTCCACACACAATCGTATCTTACCATCTTTTTTCTTGACCACCACTATTGGGGAAGCAAATGGACTACTACTTTCCCGAACCACTTGACTTGCAAGCAGTTGTTGAACATGCTCTTTAACAGCAGCATAATCAGATGGTGGAATACGGCGATACCTCTGCCGTACGGGGGCAGGATCTATTAATGGGATCTCGTGTGTGATTAAGCTAGTACAACCTAAATCACACTCGTTACTTGAAAAGACAGATCTAAACCTAGTCAACAGATCCCTTACCTGACTCCTTTCCTCTAGGGAAAGATGCTCTAATTCTAATCCCTTAATTGCCTTACTCACCTCATCAATTTCCCCAACTTGTGACGAGACTGTGGCGCACAATTCCGGAGCTGAACCTGGACAAGAAACAATAATATTCCCTGGCCAATTAACCGGCTGAGCTGGACACAACCTTCCCACCACTACTCGTGGTTGCAACAGAACATCATGCTCACTAATATTGACCAGAGGAATTCTTGCAATGCTCGCTTGCACTGAAACCAGTGATATGGAGGCCAATACACCCGATGGAAGTGGGTTCCCATCATCCAAAGGCTCATAAAGGGCCATAGACAAGGCTCCACAGTGTGCAGTACATGTAACCGAAACAAACTGTAAGGAATTGGCTGGAATACGAACAGCTCGCCTCCCCCTCACACGAACCAGTCCACCGGTAAATTCTGGCCTCCCCGAACCATCAGCTTGGCAGTACTGCATTGCCATCTGCCATGCTGGGGCTTCCTTAACTATGGGGAGATCAAACAACTCTGTCCCATGTTGATTAAACAGCTCTCGGAAGCACTCTCCTATCACATTCATTCCCAATAAGCCTGGCAGCCCTGAAGTTGTGAGGCCCTGAACAGGGTCCTTCACGATCAAGACCCCTTTCTTATGAATGACTCTACCCAATATAACAAAATCCAACTCCAGATATCCTACAAACGGAATAACTGAACCGTTAGCAGCACGAAGCTGCAACCACCCACAATTATTTAACCTTTCCTTACCCCAAGGCTCAAAATGTGCTAGAAAGAAACTCTCCGTGATCGTTGTTACCATAGAGCCAGTGTCCAATAAACATGGGACATTAACCCCACCCATGTTAACCATAACCGAAGGGCACTTACCCAGAAGGGTAGAAGGCGATTCATTAAGGGGGGCAAGAACTGCAGAGCCTGGTACTACCCCTTCTGAACTGCGGCTCGTCAGTGCAGAGGGTTGTAGTTTTCCGCCTGTCCATCACGTGCAAGTACATTACTACATACGCGGGCCTGTTGGTCTTTGGAGTAAGGCTGCGCTGACGTACAATTCCGAGCAATATGCCCAGGCTGATTACAACGCCTACAAATAATAGGTCCTTGCCGTCTAGCATAACCGCCTCCCTGTTGGGACTGGAGTTGCTGTAAACTTTGAGTAAGTAAATTAAGCTGTTCTTGCTGGGCTCTCATCATTTTCTTTATCTCCATTAACTCTGAGGTGTTAACATTAAGTGACTCAGAGGAAACCATCTGTCCCTGTACCCTATACTGAAGCGCAGAGGAAACTGGGACAGAATTACTTCTCTCCCTCATCTCATAGTGAAATCCCTCTTCCACCCACCTAATGGCTTCTTTTCGAATATCCAAAAGAGTGGACGTAGGATTTAATCTAACATGCCGTTTAAGTTCCCGTCTCAACCCACTATCAAGCACATGTTCTACAAACTGGTCTCGAAGTAGGACGTCCGAATTAGGTATACCCCCTGGAGCCTGTTGGACTACCTTCTCCATTAGGGCAAACAGAGCATGTGAATACTCCTGTAGGGATTCCCCCTCTAGCTGTCTCCGAGCAAAAAAACTTTGCTGTAAAGCAATATAGGACTGTGGGTATCCATAAAGTTCTTGTAAAATCAAAAAGATTTGCTCTGGGGTTTCCCTATCCTTCTGGGCTCTATACTTAATTTCATTCTTAGCAGGACCCCCCAAATGATCAATCACAAACAAAACCTGCTCAGCTGAAGGCAAATGTCGACCCTTTAAGCAAGCCTGGATCTCCTCCACCCATTCAAATACACTGTCTTCACCCCTTCCACTAAAAACACGACACTTCCGTTCCCTAGGAACGTAGACTATCCGTTCAACTATGGGACTAGGGGCAGGAATGCTACTCACAGTCGATGAAGCTGTGGCTGCTGCAGCTTGACTCGACTGTTGTTGATGCAACCGCTCATTCTCTCCCCTCAGTGACTCCACCTGCTGTCGCAACTCCTCCAATTCCTTCTCCATACTTAGCTCTTACCACCAGGTAAAGGAAGAGGAAAACAGAAAACACAAACCCCTACAAATCACACGACTGAACTCACCAACTGCCAACTGCTGCTTTGCTGTAAAAAACGAGATCAGAAAATAAGATACAACGCACAATAACAATACCACACACCGAACAATATGCAACAAAACTGGTAGGCGAGAAAGAGAAAAAAAAACAAAATCTAACCCACAATATGATATTCTCTGCTTGTCACAATCCTGCCGACTACGCCAATTGTAAAAGGGGCACTCAGGGGTAGACCCTCGACCCCTAAGACTAACCCAAAGATGGTCTTCCCAATGGTAAGTATCCAAGTTAATGGACAGTGACAAGCAGAGTAATCACGGTTCAAGCAAATCTCAATTTTATTTCTTACATTTACTATTTAAAACATTGAGCTCAACATCACAATAAAAATGTTGCCTTAATTACACAGTGTTCCTAGTAACAAAAACACCAATTAAGGACACCGTCCTAACTCTGAATTCATAAGTGCTTAAAGCATCATCCCCACAAATGGACAGGTAGATGGATCAATGTGTACCCGATATCACTCTAGAACACCATACATTTAGCCAAAAAAAAGGAAATGGACGCAACAAAAAATCATAATAGACAAAATCAATACAATACCCCAAAAAAAAAAATCCATACAACCATAAACCCACCCACAAATGGCATAAACCGAATCAATAAAGCTAGTTGGGTGGTGATTCTAGAACACAACAAAAAAAAATACATAGCAATAAAAAAACATTAAACAATATCAATACAAATACCAGGAAGACTATACCAATATAAATCCCACCCGCAATCAACAAAAATGAAATTGGTAATCAGTTGTTATTTCTTGGTTATTCAATGTGTCCCACTCCAGCATATAATAAAACCCAAATAGGAACCACTATGTAGGACCCCTAGATGTTGAAAACAAAATCATACACCCCAAACAAAACAAAAAATCAAAATATAGTGAATCATATACACCACAAACCACACAATTCAAAATATCACCGTCACACCAACCTTGGTTCCGATTGGGCAATACTAAGCCAATAAGTTAGTGTCACATCATCACTACAATCATAACAACGACACCACTTTCTAAAAATAATAATCATAAACTAATAATAATGACAACAGCAACCAAAGCAACCCATACAAAGAAAGAAAAAGAAAAACGAAATGGAATAACACTTCGTACAAACTCACATCACTCAAAGCAAATAACAAACACACTAGGCTAACATGGTTTCCGACGGCAACACTCGTAGATGGTTTGAGGACCTGTATAAATCATACAGCGAGCGCGCATGAATGAGGCAGCGCACATGAATTGGCCAAGGAGGATGGAGTCCGAAGCGCTTGCGTCTGATGTCCACACACGCACGCGTAGGAATGCCGTTCAGAATAGGGCCAGATGCCACTTAAATTACAGCAAAGCAGCAGCTAGCAGACTCTGCAAAACAACAACATTCCTTAAAACTCTTTTCCCTTTTTTTTTCTACGTTTACTCTAACACACAAAACTTACCTTTGGAATAAACTCTACATTACGCCCATAAATTGGCCGCACATAATCAGGTTAATTTCAGACTGCCACCACTATCCTTAAAAGAAAAATACACTCATGTAAACTTAATAATCCATTCCATCTTACTCACGGTTTCTAACATGCTCTACTCACTGGAGGGCTAGTGGAGAGACTCCCATCAACCGGTCCAAACAACAAAATGCCAACCCGAGACGGAGCGCGCACCTGCTCATATAAAGCCTTGACGTGATTGGCACGCAACGCACGCACCTAAAGGGTCCGCCTACCACATATATATATATATATATCTATGATCGGGAGTTTTCCTGGATGCTAGTATGTAATTTTTTTCTAATTACGAAAATTATAATTTTACATCATTTTTCTACATTGATGGATCAGTGACCGCACGGTCATTCCTGACAAAAAGCTTGTGTTTGTGTGTACAGATTCAGAAATGTACTATTCACCCTCCCTGTTAAATTTTATCTAATCATGTCCTGAAACACACCTCCTCTCCTGTTTTCACTTATCATACTGACGGAGGGAGCGATTCGTTTGTGAATGAATCCCCCGAACGACTCTTTCACTAGCCGACAATAATACGAATAATAATTCTCGTTGTCATATTTCTTTTGCATTGTTTGCTGATTTTATTCAACAAAACTAGCATAAGCCGAGTGTTTAGTTGTTGCAGCTGCTTTGCCTTATGGTGAATGCAGTTAAGTGACTGTTATCATTAGCACAAAAGTTCAGTACATACTAAAACAGAAAAAAAACTTAATATTACCTATGAAATGTTCTGCCTTTTTGCTTTGTTTTCTTTGTTTGCTCGTTACTACACCTGTAGATAGTCCAGCATCTTCACGTAATAACACTGTCTTGACTAGAGCGGTTGAATGACATTTGTCCTGGGAGCACTGTACCAATGTGGCGGCGCTATTGATGCATGCCCAGGGTCCCTATGCGATATCTAGTATATATATATCTATGGTATTCACCGATGTGTTGTTGTCAGAAAACCACGTGATCAAGTTTCTCACGTTCAACGGTACTAGGTGCGTTCGACATGAAGCTCAGCTGCAGCCGGTGATCAACGAGATTAGCCGAGCGCAGGCGGGGCGGAGTTGAAAACGGAGCCGTCAAGACGGACAGCTGGACACTTCGGGACTCAAAGTTGCTGCAGTCATGATGACCGATCACATGGCGTCATCATATTTTTTTGTTATTTTTATTTATAACAACAAAACATTTACAAATAAAACAGAATACAGTCTCTACAAACTGTAGTTCCTTTTTAAACAATAAGAGAGAATTATGAATAAAATATATAACAAATGCATGAGAGAAAATGAGAGGTTAATATAAACATAAAAAACGAACAGGTCTATTAAATACAAAGCAATAAGCATAAATTCTAGGAGTTAAACATCAATCTTTAGGCTAATACTTCTTGTTTGAATCTGCTAAAAAAGGGTTTACATATATGTACATTTATAGATATAAAAATTTCCCATGTAAAAAGCAAAACAAGGTGTTTTGATTAGGTCTTAATAAATGAGACTATTTTGGATAATGAATGAATTTTCAAAAAAGCATTTTAATCCAAAAAGATTGTGTTGAAAAGAACAAAAGGTAAAATAAGTGAGCGATGTAGAAGTTTCCCAGAAAGAGCAGGTCGCCTTTAAACTGCTAGACAGGAAATAAAATATATATTTATATTATAATAATAAAGCCATTTTATAATTATTTAATAAAATAGTTCTTTACTTTAATTTGTTAAGAGAGCTTTAGGGGGGCAGGATCAATGATGATGATTTTCTTATTTCAAGTCTGTAAGACTTATTTGAGTTCATATTTAGGTTATTCACTAAAATATACACTAAAATATATCATTTAAATCGTTCGTGGAGATGAATGCAGTAAATAGTCTGTATAAAAAAGTTAAAAATAAACCTGTGCAAACAAGCTAACCTTTATAACCAGATTATTTAACAAAAGATGATACTGCAGTAAAATATTTGTAGTCTTTTAATAAGCAAGATGTGTGCAGGATAGAGAGGGTGTGAAAAGTGAATTGTTTGTTTTGAAACTTTTGAATCGGAATTTGTCCAATTATAAACCCGAAATACACGTGTTTGTTGTCATGTGGTGAACTTGGCCAATCGTGTAATATCGGTGTCGTCATCAAAGCTCCTGCAGTAGCTCTTCAGAAGCTGCACGGTCTGAGTTTGCCGTCTGATCTCGGAGCGCTGTCGCGGTACTTTGATGCCACATGTGACAGTCACGTGGCGTCGGCGCAGCATCAATCCGGACAAGATTTCTAACCAGAATGCACCGCTTTAAGACAGATTTCGATCGATCTGCGCAGCGCTGCATGAAGTCGAACGCACCTAATAAAAGGTTCAACCTGGGTGTCGCTTTGAGTAGGTGAATTGATGTTCATGACGTTGATTTGATGCTTCTGAAACTGTGCTACATTTATTTTGGTCATGTCTCGCACTAAACAGTTTTGGGATGGTGTACACTTTTTTTGTTTGTTTGTTAAAGTAAAGATTCTACCAGAATTTTCTATGCAAATATTACTACATTAGGGTATTTTAACTAAGGTTGTTGTTATTGTTAGTGTTTTTCAAATAATGTATTTTTTTTTCTTATTTATAGCAAGTTTAATATCCACAAATGCAAATTCTGAAAATCTATCTGTAAATCTTAAGAAAAATTTGGTATTTTATTAATAATTTTTAAAATCAATAAGATTTATGTATTTACTAACATGAGCTAATTATGAACAATACTTTACTGACACTAGTTCAACGTTTACTAATGCATTATTAACAGTCATGTTTGTTAACATAAGTAATGCACTGTGAGTCTACATGAACTATAAATAACTGTATTTTCATTAATGTATGTTCATTGTTCGTTAAAGCTAGTAAATGCATTAAATAATATGAACTAATACAACCTTATTGTAAAGCGTTTCCTTTTTTAAAAGACGTGGCTCACTATATAACGTTGATTTCAGCTAATAAGAAAGCTATGAAGACTGTCAGAATTTGCTCTGGGCTGAAGGTCTTTGTGCAAGTAATCTTACATAAATAACGTTTATAAATGCAAAATACATTAGTGCACTTTCCCTTTTTTCCTTTTTCTCTTATTGTTTTGTTTATTATGTAGTTATTTTGTTGTTCTTTATTGTATTGTGTTATTTTTGTCAATGTCACATGTTGATATTGTATTTTGCACTGTTATGTGTGTTGCTATTAGGCCTGTCACAATAATTAATATATCGACTTATTGCACAACACTTGGACATGACCTCAATCGTTTTTGATGATGCAATATATATTGCCCAAACAAACAAAAACAAAAAATTCTTGCAACATTTTAGCTGATTGTGCAACATCTCCATCTTTATTAGAGGTGTCAGTGTCAGTATGGTTAAAAAACTGTAGCTTTTACTATAAATTACTGTATATTATATATTACATTTTTATGTGGGTGACAACTAAAAATAGAAAATATCGCAGCCTCTGTGTTTACATTGCACTTTTTTTTGTTAACATTTATTAATATTTATTAGTTTAAGATATACTTAAATGGTCTTAAAATAACAATAATAGTGTTTCAAGACTTAGCTGAGGATTGACTATGAAGCATGTTTGGCATAATGTCCCGATAAGATCCTCGAGCCTGTTTTAAAAATGCCTTAATTGTTTAGTTTAGAAAACCCATACTTTAGTTTTACCAGTTGTTTTGTTTTATAGAACTTAATAATTAATGTTTATGAGTTTGTTTAAACATGCTTTTAAATGATGATTAATGTTTTAATATGGAAATTATTCATAAATCGCTTTCCCTGTCGTATTTATTTTCATAGATATTGTAATAAAGAAATAAGTGTCAAACACGGATAGCTTTTTTATGAGAACAATCGTGTACCTTCATTTCAATCATACTATAAAAGATACAGAACAGTATCATAAGAGGTCTTTTCTGTACCATATAAGGTACAACTTGTACAATAAAACAAAACTGTTCCTTAGAAAACATTTATACCACTGTGTACCTTTTTTCAGAGAGTGTAAGGTAACACTATATATATATATATATATATATATATATATATATATATATATATATATATATACATATATATATATATATATATATATATATATGTACCTTCTGAATAATGGTTCAATAGTTAATGTATTCACTAACATGTAATTTGATAGATGTTTGGTATGATGTCCTGATAAGATCCCCATAAGATCCTCGAGCCTGGGGCTCCCTCCTGTTTGCAAGGCCAGAGGGGAGTTTGAGCTGAGGTAGATCTCGAAAACTTTCCTGCTTATTTATGGCTAATAGCGAATCAGGGATTGCTATGGAGAGATATACTACTGACTAAGAGGTCATCAATAGTGCCAATTTGGTTTAGTCACATGACTGTGGGAGGAATCCGAGAAACCTGGGGAAAACCCATGCAAGCACATGGGGAGAACATGTAAACATTGCAGAGAAACGTCGACTGGCCTGGTAAGGACTTCAGCCAGTGATATTCTTGCTGTGAGGTAACAGTGCTAACCACTGGGCCACCATGCCGCCCTATTGAGGAAAAAGGGAAAAGGAATAGGGGTGTAAGAGAGGCATTCTTTAAGACAAATATAGAGCTGCGATCACACTGGACCTTTCTCCCCATATTCAATTCATATGCACACTGTTTGCTGCATTGCAAAGTTCAAGCTTGGTGAACTCTGACCTGCAAAATCGCTTTACGTGACTGCGTAAGACCAATTAAATATTAAAACATGACCTCTCTGGACAGGAACCTAAAATATGGACCAATCGCTGGCCTTTTATAATGTCTAATCATCTTGTTTAATTCCAGCCCTTCTTGCAGTGCCATACAACAGTATTTTGCATGCTCAAACTCTAGTGTGACCACAGCATGACTGAGGTAAAGAAACTCTGGTGATTTATGGTAAGTTAGGAATCTTCTGATTGATAAATCATGCATTAGCTAATGCAGGACCAGCTGTGGTCAATCATAAGCATATGATCCTCTTAAAATTAGTTTACAAATAAACTTCACTTATCGCAATATATTTTGATGCAATATATAGCACAACAAAAATAGATATTGTGACAGGCCTAGTTCCTATTTCCTGCAATATGTTTTTTTAAAGTAGGTTAAGATGTCCACATGTGAACAAAACAATTAATCTAAATTAAAGCATATTTATAAATATTATCAAGCTTTTTGTTGTTCTAGAATGCA